GATAGATAGATAGATAGATAGATAGATAGATAGATAGATAGATAGATAGATAGATAGATAGATAGATAGATAGATATGCATATACCTACATATATTATATGAAACAAGGTTCTAACGCGCATGAGCCTCTGCGGGCAGAAAGCCTCTCCTTTCTCTTGGAATAACCCACGATGAAAGCCCCCCCAAGCGACCAAATTACCTGCAGAGCTCCAGAGCCTTGCAAAGAGAACGGCACCCACCTCTGAGGCGCCTTTCCGGGATCGGCCCTGAACACGTTTCCTTTTCGCCTTTCCCGGCTTGCACCAATCAGAGAGCCGAGCGTGCGGGGGACAGTACGAGGCGCGTTGCAACGTTCGATCAACGCCCGGGCGCCATTCCAGGGCCCGCCCACTCCTCCGGCTGCCGCGGCCGGGGCTGGAGTGCGTGGCGCTTCTCGGCTCACGTCCTTCGCCTGCGGCCATGTGAGCTACAGCCGGTCGGGTATCTGGTCGTCTGAAATCAAGCGCGTCGCTCGACTCCGGGGTTTGTTGCGGCCAGCTCGGGCAAGGAATCCCAGGCGGCAAGTGGGTTAGTGGCGAGCCAGAGGCTCTGCTTAGAATTCAAAACTGCTTAACGACCATATCTTTAGCCTGGCCCTCCCCGATGGGGAGGACCAGACCCGCTTCCCCTTTTACAGGTAGTCCTCGACTTACAACGGCTGGTTTTATTGACCGTTCAAAGTTAGATCGGCACCGACAAAAGTGATTTATGACCGGCTTTTCACACCGTTGCAGCATTCCCCATGATAAGGTGATCAGAATTCAGATCCTTGACAAGGGACTCATATTTAAGACCGTTGCTGTGTCCCAAGGTCACGTGATCACCTTTTGCTACCTTCTGTCAAAGCAAAAGTCAATGGGGAAGCCAGATTCACTTAACAACCAAGGTACTAACTTATCCACTGCAGTGATTCGCTTAACAACCGAGGCAAGAAAGGTGGTAAAATGGGGCAAAGCTCACTGAACAAAAGTCCCACTTAACAACCGAAATGTTGGGGTCACTTTATGGTCTAAGCCAAGGAATAAGGTGTATTAGATCAGATCACTCCAAATAGAATTTCAGCAACAACTTCCTGAAAGGAGAAAGAATTGATTATATGACTTGGAGGCATGTCGCTGGCCGTGTAATAATAGTCGGGCTACCAGATGACCCTGAGATAGTGGCAAAGACATGTAGGATCATCTTTTTATTTTCTGCCTTGAGGTCAGCAGGGCAGATTTTTCCAGAACCCTAGAAACGGGGGCTGCTTTATTACCATCTTTGGAATTTTCCTAAACACTTAGATTTGGTGTTACAATTATGCACAGAATTGAAACTGATGGCAGGCAGAGCTAAGTGCAAGAGCCGGAGAGTGTTGGAGTCCAGAGATCCCACCCAAAGAGGATTTTGATTGGCCCCTGTCCCCTAGGAGGACCAGGGAGGAGCTCCATCACGGGGCTCATTTTACAGAGCTGACAGACTGAACATATGCAGACAAGCACGATTGCTCCATTCTGGGCAAATAGCCAGGATTAAGAGACCAAGGGGGCTGGGCTGCTTATGAAAATAAGTGAGATTTTCTTCTTAGTTAACCTTCTTAGTTAAACCTGATACAAGATGACATGAAGAGGCAATCATTTTGATTAGGCCAACTTAAGAGTCACAGAAGTTTTATACATTTGTAAGTCTGTGTAAGACTGTTATCAAAGATGTGTTAGTCTTTGAGATGATGGGAATTGTTTTACCATTGACAGCAGAAGCTAGGAGGAAACTAGATATGTTGAGCTTCTAAATGGACTGCATCCTAACAGGGACCCCGAATTAAATGGATATTTGAACTCTTTGCAATAATGAAAATGTAAGATCTCAATTGTCCTAAACAGCCTCTGACTATGAAATCTGAGGTTATAACAAAATGTACATTAGGCAGCAAACCCCAGTGAGAAGCCATCATTTGTTTACAAGTCCTGATTTATTTTAATTATCATCTGAACACTGACTTGTTCCTGTTTGGGTTTGGCCAGCCTGAAAAGATCCAGTCCAAAAATTACTGAAAACATTCTTCCAGTGTAACCACTCTCAATATTTTTTTCTCCATGCTTCTCATTGCTCCTTGATGGCAGCAGATGGACATTTTTATGTCCATCCATACAACACAAACAACTTGTTTTTAAAAAGCAATGTCCACATCACAAGAACAAATAATGATCAAATCACAAACATGATGAAATGGGTGGCAAACAAATCTAACAAATAAATGAATGAATAAAACATACAAATACCAAGGTATGGATAAGAAAAACATAAAACACCGTGTTGTCTGCTGCTAACATGTCTGAGATACCGTTAGCAAAAGATCTGAAGATGAGGAATTGGCTAACAAAGTCATAGAAAATGAAAACATTGGTTCAGCCAAATGCTAAAAATACATTTTAAGTAATTAAAATTCATTAGCCACCCAACTATATTGGACCCAGGCTTAGCATTCTGTAAGCATGGAGTCATTAATAACATGTGAACCCTGGAACAGAGTAAGAAAATAGTACATAAGCATTTATTGGCCCTGTATTGCATTTTACATTATTCTCCATCAGCTGCTACAATTCAAAATATATTTCCAGAATTGTGAAAGTACTCATGGAATTTGCTTTCTTTCTATAAAACAGCAGAATTTTCTTAGGCCATTTTAAAAGCTGAAGCATTAACCAGCCAAAATTATTCTTTGTTCTCCTTATGGTATCCTCTTTTAGATATCTCCAAGAACAGGTAGTCCTTGTGAAGGATGCCTATAAATACAAGTAATCTTCAAATTACAATGGCAATTAGAATAATTTCTGTTGCTAAATGATGGAATTGTAAAGTGTGATGTCACATGAGGACATCACCTAGCGATGGCAATCCCTCCACCCTGTTACCATTATTGAAGTTTGTTAAGCAAGCACCTCCTTGCACCTTCCTGCTGACTTTCAACAAACAAACTTGGGAAGGTGGCAAGAAGTTACAAGTCCCAGTAAGTTTGCAAGCAGGCTGACAGGTGGGAAACAGAGCAAGGGAGTGTGCGGATGGCCGAGGCGGTACACCAGAGGATGGCGGGACTTGAAGTGGCTGCAGCTGGATGGGAGAGCAAGCACGATTGGTAAGAGAGGCACAAGCACAGTGGGGCTTGGGGCTACTATTGCCAGGGAGAGGGTGCATGAGTGGTAGAGATTTACCTGAGCTGTTTACAACCTTCCATGCCAGCTTCCCCATTGACTTTGGTTATGACAAGCTAGCCAGGAAGAGCAAGTGATTGTGAACAGTGCAAGAGTCATGGGTACCAAGTACCAGAGCTTGATCACATGACAGGAGGGGTCCTGGGACAGCCAGAACTTCAAGGACTGATTGTAACCACCACTTGTTCAGTACCATCATAACTTCACATGGTTACTGGACTAATGGCCATTAAAGGAGGACTACCTTTATCAATCTGAGGGTTGGCGTCCATTTCCTTTGCCCTTTGATTAGTAACTTTCAAGCAGCTGTTCTTTCTTTGGATCTCTTGAGCAGCCAAGATGACACCCTGGCTTCCACAATTTTAAAGGGCTTTTCTGTTTATTGTTTTATTTCTTGTTTTTTTTCCATAATGTGGTACATTATGTCTATGCTGGGACTTAGTTTTACTCTGTACAGTCTCTTTTAACTGCTTACAACTAATGCCTAAATCTAAGACAGATTAAAGAAATGTTTGCGATAGTGGCAAATATCTGTAACTCCGGTATAGGATTAAGTTGGAAATTTGTTCTCCAAGCTTGTGGGTTGGTTTCCAAATGTTTTGTTACCTAACCTGGTAATGAAACATTCAGAAATCAATCCACAAGCTCAGAGAATGAACTTCCACCCTAATAAATGTTTCAGTTGAAGAAAAAGATCAGGCTCTTCAACCTCTTTTTACGGGGAGACGATGCTGGCAAGAACAAGAAAACTGATTTGATACCTCCTTTTTCTAGGTGACTGATGTTGCATCTGTCATGATGTCTAGCAACATAAAAGACAGTCTTGAGCTTCAAGTGGCAGAATTGGAAATGCTTTTGTCTATGTTTCCTAATAAAGGAGAAATAACTCTTCAAGATGAAAATGTTTTCGAGAATATTCAGAGGTACCTGAAAAATACAACTGAAAATCTCCTGCCTAAAATTGAGTATTCAGTTGCTGTTCCTATAAATGAAACCAAGGTGAGGCCATCTGTTTTCATTGATTATTATTGAGGAATTCCATTTGTACTTCAGTTTAGTAAACATCTGTGAATCAATCTCAGTAAAATTACTAATTTTAGCCAATAGGCCTAATGCATATTTGGTTGGATTTTGCCTTAGTTGTTTTTTTCAGCTGTAGATTACATTATAGTACTGCATTTAGAAATTAAATAAATGATTATAAGCTGTTTTTAGTTAACAATGCTGCTTCACTGGACATATTTTTACAGACTGCTTTTGGGTATCTTTTTTTTTTTTAACTTATGTATCTGGGACCTCAAGATAGTCATCGTCTACAACTGAATGTTTACTGAAGAATTTTGTTCCATTTCTGAAGTTTGTTTTTCCCCTTCAACTTTAAATCTTGATCTGTGATCTGTGAGCTAGAACAGGGGTCTCCAATCTTGGCCACTTTAAGACTCGTGGACTTCGACTTTGCTGGCTGAGGAATTCTGGGAGTTGAAGTCCACGAGTCTTAAAGTGGCCAAGGTTGGAGACCCCTGAGCTAGAAGAGCTTCTCTAGATAAAATGAAGAGAGCCATTTAGCCATTTAGCCTATTCAATGCAGAAATCCCAGTTAAGGTTATCCAGTCTTTGCTTGAACATATCTGATTTTGCTTTGATTTCAAGATAGTTCCAACAATGCATTAAATGAAACAGTTGCTTGCTCCAGGTTAGTTTTCATCTTTTACAGCCTGTAAGTAGGGCGTCCTTGATTAACTACTATCCCATCACGGGGCCCATTCAAATAGCACCAAACAAGGAGACCTAGGACTGCTGCTGGAAGTCTCAGCTGTCACAGTGTTCCCCAGTCACATGATCACATTTTGGGTGCTTGGCAACCAGCTTGCAATTCTAAGTCACGGCATTCCATAGTCACATGACCATCAGTTGTGACCTTCACTGCCTCTTCTAATAAGCAAAGTTAATGGCGATAAGGTCACAATTGGTGATTACATGACATTGCACTTAATTGTCTTATGGGATTCGCTTAATGACCACACCTGGAACTGCTGTTGTAAGTCAGCATGGTCAAGTGATGTTGCACTTTATGGCTGTGTTGCTTCCCTCAAATGGTATCCTTGTGAATTATTGTTCTAGGTAGTGGAGAACCATGATCTTACAATGAAATAAACATACTGTAAAGATGAACTTACTGCAGTTGTGAATATATGATATATTCTAGACCCAAGAAATTGTACTGTATCAGAGGTCACTCCACTGAACAGAGCATTTAGCATTAGAATTAGAAACTTCAGCATTGCTAAAGGCTTGTATCGTGTCCTTTAAAGTTAAGGGCTAATAATGTGTGTGCTTGGATATTACATCAATTAACTAAAATGATTTTTATCATTTTGTAACATAATCTGATTTATAAAGAAAAACAGAATCAGCGAGAAAGCTGGAGCTGGTAAAAAATTGGTAGAAAAAGAGGAATAGCTGCCAGGAAGACAAATCAAAGTGCCAAAAGTTTAGATTGCTGAGAGTTTATTTAAACTTCTTCCTTTTTGTGAAGTAAATGAAAACTCATATCCAATTTTATATTCAATCAAGAGTCACAATACAGCCATAGGGTAGCTGTCTCTTCTATTCTAATATTATTGCTAAACTAGCTTTGTAATGTTATCACACTGATTATAAAAGCACGAACTTTACCTAATCCAGAAATAAGTTACCCGCCTGCAGGCGTGGGACTTGCAACTTCCTGTCAGCTTCCCCACTAATTTTGGTTGTGGGGAAGCCAACAGGATGTTGTTCCACTAATAACCCTGAGTTCAGTTAACCATAGTAACTGGGGCCACAGGGGGACTGCCACGCTAAGGGATGTGGTCGCACTTTATGGACAGCGTTGTTTAGTGATGAAAACAATTCCAATCACAGTTGCCATCGTTAAACAAGGACTACCTGTGTCAGGGGTTCAAGAACTTGTACATTATATCAGCTCTGTGTGCTATGCAGTAATCTTAATTTGCAAGTGCCATACTTAGAGCTCTATAGTATAAGCACATGCATGAAAAGACTGAGTGATGGCTGAATATAGAATTGTCTGATATACTTTCATTCTTGTACAACCTGTACTGTATTCAAATGAGTAAAAATTATCCTTTATGGCATATAGGATATGCAAAATATTTGTACGACGGGAATATTTTTTTTAATGAATTGGTTTTAGGTTTACTGAAATAAAAAAAAAGAACTTACATAAATATATTGTAACTGGATTTCTGTATTTGGTGTAGTTTCCTCCCCAAAATTGCTTAAGTACAAAATATATTATTTGTCTCCCCCCCCCTTTTTTTTTTTTAGGCCATTGTAGATTTGCAGGTGGAATTGCCTCACCGTTACCCCTATGTGACACCACAACTTTTTGCGAGATCAAGTACACTAGACAGGCAACAACAGTTGCAGCTCAATAAAGACCTTACCTCTTATATTTCTACTTTGGAGCCCGGAGAACTTTGTATATGCGCAGCTGTTCGGTGGTTACAGGATAACAGTACATTCAGAGTACAAAACAGTGAAGTTTGTGAAAGAACAACAAGGAAAAAAATAGTCAAAGCACCATTTAAACGCATGTGGATTTACAGCCATCATATATACCGACAAGAACTGAGGAAAAAGATCTTTGAATATGCAAAGAAATTAAATCTGACTGGTTTCTGCCTAGCTGGGAAGCCTGGGGTGATTTGTGTGGAGGGCACAAAAGAAAACTGTGAAGAGTTTTGGCATATTATTAGATACCCCAATTGGAAACACATTTCCTGCAAGCATCTTGAGACTGGAGAAGTAGAAGGAAATGGAGAAAATTTTCGCCTCTTTCAGACCTTTGAAGATTTACAGTTTCAAGCTCATGGTGATTATGGATTAAGGAATGACTATCACATGGACCTTGGTCAATTCCTAGAATTTCTTAAGGTTCATCAAAGTGAACACATATTTCAGATCTTATTCGGCATTGAAGGAAAAAGTCCTGACATTTAGCACAAGTTTATTCCCTCTCTGGTTCTTGACGAGGTTTTGAAATCTTCAATCAAGAGCAAATGTGCTAGGAGGACAGTTCTGGGTTATATTTGTATGAAATCAAGGGGGAGGATTGGTGTGATTAAAATATATGATATAGTAAAATAAAATCCAGTCTTTATACATTTCAAAATGACACAGAGCATAAAAAAATAAGTGGTAGGGCTGAAAAACTCTTTTGAAAAAAATGCTTTGCAACATGTAATATGCACTTGTCTTCAAATCCATAAAGCAGCCATCATATCAATTATTTGGACTTGTATAGATACTTAGGTTACTTAGATTCTCAGGCTTGTCTAGAAGTTGAGTCACGGCATCTGGACTTTCTCTCTCTCTTTCTTTCTTTCTTTCTTTCTTTCTTTCTTTCTTTCTTTCTTTCTTATTTGAAACATTTCACTGCTTATCCAAGTAGAGTACAGTAGACTAAAGAAACTGCTTGGATAAGCTGCTAAACATTTCTGACCCCCCCAAAAAAGAAAAGCCCAGTTGCCCTGACTGAACTTCCAGACATCTTTTAAAGAAGTAGCAAAACTCTAACAAGTATATTAACACCTCATTTCTATGTTGTGCATTATGACAGACAAAGTCACTTCAGCATTTTGAGAAGAAACCAATTCATACTACAGATGTATCTGCTGGGGTTTGCAAGTAGTATTGGGTCACTACAACAGAACAAAATCTCCAGCAGTGAGTTTGAGACTCACAGGGTGTCCTTCAATTCTAAAATCTCTGGTATTCCCATCCCCTTAGTTTTTTTTTTTTTTAACATTTTCCATTTAATTCTGCTTCAGCTGTGACTCATAGAAACATTAAAACATCATGCCTTCTGAGACTGGAGTAGCCTGATAAAGACTTTTTAAAAGGGAGATCGACACCACAAACTTGAATCTAAATCCTTCACACTGAGCAGAGCTAAGGCAGGAAAGAATTGCTAGGAATTTCCTTAAAATGTACTAGGATGGGAGGAGAATGTCTGTTAACATAAAGCCTTAAATGGCATCATCATTCAACAGCAAACTGTAAAACGGCCAATAGGATTGTTTCATGGTCAAGTTTTTTAAACTTTCGAAATCCATTGAAAATTTGGGAGTGACAGAAAAGGTTCACCAAATGACACTTCTCACTGATCTAACCCTTAAATTAAACATCCCCAATTATGCTTGAAGTAATTCTACTGATACATGCTTTATATTAATATTATTTCATCTGAATTTAATGGCAAAACCAGTTAACAGAACCACCATTTATACAGATACTTAATGAAGACTACCTTTTACTGAACGATCCTCCTGCAGTAAGTGTTGCCTAGCAGGAATCTAGGAAATACTTTTCCAAAGAACAAGGAAATTATCATATCCAAATTATTTTCATTTGCTTACATGTTTAGATTGTAGCTTAAAGTGAAAAACATTAACATTTGTAACCCCAAACCCACAGATTTAAAACACACTGCTGCTAAAAGTTCTGAGTTAACAAAAGATGGAAATCAACCTATTTCTTTTTAGCTCCATTGCTAAAGTGTTGCGTTCTTTGATTAAACTTTTCTTGTCTGTATTTTCATCGCTTTTTCGGGCCAAATATAAGAGTCTGTCAGAAAGCTTTCATAGTCAGTGTTGTACATCTGGGAGCGGATGAATGCTTCCTTGTCTTCTGGTTCAGGGTAGAAAGTTGCTGTCTTGTTTTTGTAGGCTTGCTCTGCAATCTAGGAGAACAAGACAAATCCCTCAGTGTTAGAATTCATATGATACTCAATGAGGAAAATTCCAGGTATCAGATTTCCACCATACAGCCAGCAATAAATCTGTGGTGTCCAAGGGAAGACATTCCTAGGCATCATACCCTTTGAAAGGAAGTGTTGCAAGCCATAGCAGTCGTAATCTGTTAATCCACATCAGTTTCATTACTAAATGTGAATGTTTTTCAACTGGGAGTGAAAACTTTCAGTAGTTCCAAGAAGATTTCACACCCATTTGCACTCTGACTCGGGTGACCCTGAGGGTACAAATAAACCCGCAAGTGGCCTCAACGACTCTCAGAGTGCTAATGACCAGATGACTGCAAAGAAATATGATCCTTCCATGCCCCTCCAGCCAGCCAGAACTAATCCTTCCATGCCTGCCCCCACCCCGCTATCCTGCCAGAACTGATGAAGCAAAACATCTTCAAGGAAAAAGCATTTCTTTGTTTTTTAAAAAAAACATATTCCAGTTGTTTTTGAAAAAAGCACCTTTCATTCAGATGGGAGCATTTCCTATTAAAGTAGTCAAGTTAGGGAGGCATCTCAGATTCATTGCAATAAAGGGCCAACTCACCAAGCACATCCAGCTCTTTATGAAATAAATATGTAATAATTGGCAGTGTACTTAATCCTGCCATCCCAACTTTCTCAGATACTGTTGCCATTCTAACGCCCAAACAATATTTACAGGACTCCTGTTTAAGTGATCTTACAGTGTAAAAACTTCACTGCATTTGGTGCATGTAAATTATTGTAACCTTACAGTTAATATTCCAAATAATATGTCAATGCAATTCACATAAAGAACAGATACTCCTCATTAAGTAACCACAACTGGGTCCAGCAATCATTAAGCAAAGGTTCCTATTGAAATTGTGACTGTTGTTATTATCAGCTTTCCTTTGCTTTACAAACCTGAAAAGGCCATAAATGTGAATATGGCCATAAAGTTATTTTTTCAGTCTAACTGGTGCTAAATGAAACAGTCACTAAATGAGGCTACTCGTATTATGGCTATGGAGATTTTTGGTCATCCTGGTCATGGTTGTCCCAAAGGTGCTTTTTCAAGAGGCTACTGGCCAGTAGCCTCTTGAAAAAAGCACCTTTAGGACTCCTTGTATTATGTTTACATACAGAGTCAAAGCCTTTGGAAATCTCCACTTGCATTCTAAGCCCAATAAAACACTGCCTTAGGATTGACAGGACAGAATGCATTTGCAAAATTATTCTTGAAAATCTTAGAAATTCAGTGTATTTCATTTACATGAATTTAAAGAGATCTGATAAATAAAACTCCCCTAGAGAAAACTTTGACCCTATTAAACCTGCAGACTCAAATAACCAAATTGTATTTTTTGTTGTTGTTTTGTTCACAATAACTAAATACAGATATAAATTTTTGGAAGAAGAACAAATATATTGAACTGTGCCATTTTTCTCACTGCTTAAAAATCTAGTAAACGAAAGTTTTACTACACACAAAAAAATGCAGATTTCAAAAAAATTCTTTGACAATTGAATTAGCTTTAAATATTGAAAATGTCTGCATTATCAAGTTGATGAGGATTAAATATGACAACCAGCTTTAAAATTATTACCAGATGTGCCCCAAGAGAAGCAATTCCTTACTGATTAACAACAAAGCACGAATAAAAGAATTGGCAGGCTTGTAGAAAATGAAAAATGAATAAGGCCCAAGGAGTGAAAAAGTTAAGTCAAACTATACCAGAAGCCAAAGATTTGTGACTGAATCTCCATTTGTTTATGTTCCAACTGAATTAGATCTTTATTGCATTTCACTGACCCCTTCACTGTTATTCGTCTTGCTGGATAAAACTTGCATGCCTTTGTAATACTGATGTTAGAAAGTGTTGACTAGGGAAAGTCAGTTGAACTCATCGACAATCATGGAAGTTGTTTCTAAGGAAAAAAGGGCTGTGGAGAATATATATCCTACCAGAGATCCTCAAAGGAAGGGAAAGGAGAAGAAGAGGGACAAGGCTAGGCTAACATCCCCTTTTTCCAAAGTGGATGTTAGAAACCAGATTTAGACTAATCTTAAAAAGCTGCAGAAGAGAATGGATTCACATCAAAGTAGTTTCAACAGGGACTAGGTCAAACAATGGTACAATGTAGGTTTGGTGTGCTATAATTTTGTGCTACAATTATTTGATTAAAATTATTTATTGTATACATTTTGTCACTGAAACGGAAAAAAATTCTAACGACTTCTTTTTGAATCTCGGAGTAATGGGCTATGAGAATAACCTTGAGGAACAAAAAAGAAGAGTCACCCTCAAGACAAGACCAGATAAAGAAAAATTAAGAGTCCAAAACGGGAATGTAATTTGAGAAAGCATCTCATACTTGACCCTCCCTGGTATTCTTGAACATAAAAGCAGAGAGAGGGAAGTTACAGTCATACCTGCAAGATTCTGTTGCCATAACCTTATAATGAAAGTAACATTAGGATTAATAACCTTATCTTGAAGGGCTGACACATGATATGATTAGTCAGTGAAGAATGAACTTACTTTCACAGCAATTTTAAGAGAGACGTCTCGAATTGCAACTAAAGGTGGATATAAACGGCCCTCATCTAAATGCTTCTTTGATACCTGTTGGCATATAACCTAGGAAGAAAAAGTATGTATATATATAAGATGCATGTATTGCTAATACCTTTGTTTAAAGAAGAAAAAACTTACCTTAAATTAAAAAAAAAAATCAGGAATCACATTGATGGGAGTTTTAAAGGACAACATCTTCATCTCTGATACCTATTGGTTTGCCTACTTTTTTCTGATCCAATGCTCTGATCATATATATATATATATATATATATATGTATATGTATATGTATATGTATATGTATATGTATATGTATGTATGTATATGTATGTATGTATGTATATATGTATATATATATATTTTATAGGATCAGAACTATTAACTATACTGTATCATATACTATACTATATTATAACTACTTCTTCTATATATATATAAAAGCAAAATACCACTCACGCATCATCACAAAATCTCCAGAACTGTAACGCCTACAAACTTGAAATTTGGCATGTATGTTCCTCTTGGCTTCTAGGTGCTCACTAAGAAAGGATTTTTTGAAATGACCATCAGAGCATTAGCATTTTGTATATTATTAATACGCTCTGATGCTAAGGAGTTCTACTGCCCTTCCCACCTGAAAATAAATCTGTTCCAAATACAAAACACTAGCAGAGGAGAGGAGTTTCAGTTTTAGTTTCACAGCACCAACTCTGTCACACACAACTTTAGTACAGTTGAGCTAAGCCATGCCCAGGCTCCTTGCTGTCTCCTTGCTCACACAGCAAATACTCTTTCAGTTTCCAAACAGC